TCTTGATAACTCGCTCAAGAATAGTATAATCTGACAATGTAGTTTGAGCCTTTCGTGGAGTTTGTTATGGGCACTCTTTGAGAAACCCTGGATTCGCGAGGGAATGGGGGAACAAAAAGGGACCGTGTAAGTGACGAGGCTGAAGGTCGAAACGCATGTATTGTATAGCATAGGTGCCCGTAACAGACCACATACATGGCTCACAAATAATTACCAAGCATAATGAAATTTGAGCGTGGTCTCAAGAAGTATTCGTAACTAAAGGTATGATTTTTTACATCTTCATAAGACTCTGGTCACATGTTATGTTATAGTATACAATTTAAGATATTTGTTGGAATCTTTCAGGCAGTTTGGATTCCATTCAAAATGACTAGAACAATCATAAACTCTTAAAATATTTAGTGGATTAGTCAGAGTTACAAAGATCTCTCTCATCGATCATTCTTACTAGGCAAACTATACTATGCCGATTCAAAATTTTTCTAAACCACCTGCACATTTTCCAAAGACTCTAGATTCTTGAGTATCCAGTACTGGCACTAAAAACTGCATTTCGTTTGCAATAGGCTACATTTATTGAACCTCTTACCATGAAAGAACAATGAATGAAAGAACAAAAAAAGCAATGAAGCAATCGGCAGACGAGCTATCTTTCAGTAGCTCCAAGTGAACAAAAAAAGTGGGCAAAAATGACGCTCAGAAGCTCAATTGATAAGTCGGTATAAGGAAAGAATGTCTCTTCAGAGTTTATCAGTAGCACTTCTGTTCAGCAGTTCCGAGATGTTAAATATAGTATTTATTGAATACTAGTAATAGTAACTGCTGAACAGAAGTACTACTGATATATTCCTACTAGCCGAGGTTAATTGATAGTCGGTCCGGGAGTTTCGGAGTTTCTTCAGAGTTTATTCCTGTTATGATCGCTCAAGAATATTGCTAATGACTTGTCATAAATAAGCAGTTGAAAATAAGATGAAATAAATCTATAGAACTTAAATTGTCGAATTGCGTTGGAATGTGCTTGTTTTTAACAACATCTTAAAACTGACTTAATCATTAGAGAAGTTGTAATAATGATATTTGAAAGCTGAGAAAAAGTACCCGTAGCAACTAGAAATGAGGCGGACAACGATTTGGATTTTACCAAGTAACGAATAAGTGCAATAACAAAAGCTAAACTTTGGAAATGTTCCTTAGATATAATTCTATCAAAGTCTTTTCCTAACACGTCTGCAACCGTACAAAATGTATGGAATTCTCAGAATCCAAAAACTAATTTTAAAGAATTGAATTCCAGCCATCATGTTCAGTTTTGCCGTAAACTATTCTTCTCACTGTGAAATCAAAACTGTGTGATTAGTAAGTATTTTCTTACGAGTTGAAAGTACTCTAATTTAACACTGGCAAAAATGATTTCTAACTGGAAAGAATCGTGATGTTCAGCCTTCATCGAATCCTAAATTGATCGTTACAGATTATTGCAAAGGATCCATTTCTTGTCGCTTTTTACAACACGTTCTGATGATGGGTGATGTTCGCGGGAAAAAAGACCGACGATCGCCTCAAAAGACGACTTCTTCAAATACCTTTGATTCGTAAGACTTCTAGTTAACAAGCTTCTTCGGCATCCCACATTGTTCTTCAAATATTCCAAAGCAGCTGGTATGTTTTAATTAGATCATTCTGCCTGGTCTATAACAGATGTGCGAATTTGCTCCTGCCGAACTCTTCAATTCATCGTTGTTAAGAGCAGAAGGACGTCTTTGACATTCATCATCAACGAACATGCTCAAATATTCCAAACTAACTTTCCATCATGCATTCGTTGAATTTTAGTGCCATTTGGACTGGTTACGTCCGACTAAAATCTGTGAAGTATAATGGCCGACATTGCTGTTTTGACGTTTAAAATTTCAAATTTCGAAACTTCTCGAAAATTCTCATAATTGTATTTAAGCCAACTTGTCATATGGTCTGTTAAAGGGGCCTTGTACAGCCCGATACACGTGTTTCGACCTTAATAGTCCGTCAGTCGAGCAGAACTCTTCGTATTTTAGCAAATTCTCTCAGAGTGCTCGAGTCCTCACACTAAGAATAGGCAACGACAAACGATTTACAGTATCATAAAGTGAAAATCACCAGTCTGGCAATTTGTACACTCGATTGTTCCCTAGTTGTTACTTGAAATGTCTTACTGATATGTTCTCAACAATTCATTTTGCTCATAATTGCACTGTATAGTGCAAAGCGACATGAGTTCAATGTTGTTCCATCAAAAAATAAAACTATTGTGAAAAAATATACATAAAAAATGAAACTGCAAATGGTGTGTCAGATTCCGAACAACCCAATAAAAATGAATCTTTGATCACTAGAAAAGAATGTAAACTACGACCTTTCTCGGACTGTACACGAATTAGAAAAATGTATCAGGATTTTTGTCGCGTTTTGTGAGACCACACTCAAATCTCAATATGCCTGGTAGTTATTGTTGAGCCATGCATGTGGTCTGTTATGGGTAGCTAAATGGTGCGACACACGTGCTTCGGCCTTTCACCTCATCATTTGTATGGTACCTTTCGATGTAGTCAGTTTCGTATGACGATGTCGGTTTCTACAGATAATGGATGTTTCTCGCGGAAACTGAACCAGAAGACACCGATGCAACAAGCGAGGCTGAAAGGCTAAAAAAACGTGTCTTAGTTTGTCTAAGTGCCCATAAACAGACTACTTGCACTCAGAAGGTAACTATCAGAAATGAGGATTGCTAGACAGATAAATGAATTGTACTGCACTTTCAAAACAAGAAAGAGCAGAAGAGAACCGGAATTTAGTTCATGTAAAGACGGGATTTAAACTAATTATTGTCATCTACATAAACTTTTGTCTTTTTTGAAAGGTGAATCCTCTTCTATGCTACATGTAGCCATCTCCAACCAGTATTCTTCAAAATGAGGTGTTAGAATGTTTGAGGCAAGCAGATCTCACAACAAGGTGCAGAATAATGTATTCATGTGACACAGTCAACTTCACAAATAAAATTGCTACTAAATTCATAATAAACAATGAATTTTAGCTCACAGAAACAATTGAAGAGTTTCGCTTAAATTCGATGGCTTTCTGACATTTGCATACATATTCTTTTCTGTGGAAGTACGTAGAAATGCAATGTAGAGTAGAAAGAGCGATGTGCAAAATGGGCGTCAGTAGCGTAACGGATAGAGCACGCATTCCTGGAAAGAGTGAGGTGCGGGTTCTAGTCCCGCCTGACGCGAAAGTTTTGCACATCACTCTTCATCAATGGGAATCTATTTGAAACATCATAACACCGCTAGAAGCGGTTAAATATTCAGTCATGCGTCGAAATACTTCAGGTAATAGTAATGCTGCGATTCTCAGGCACAATGACCCGCTCTTTGTCTAGAAAACAGCTTGGATTCGTCCTAACGACGCACTGATTTTCGAAAAGTCGGAGAGCAAAGGTAGAATCTAAGGAAAAGTTGAAAAGCCTAAATCCACAGACGAGATGGGATGTAGTTCCAGCGGATAGAAATAAATTTGGGAAACAATGCAGATAATACAAAAAGTTTACCTTGTAGCCACTTCCGGTTATAATAATAGAACACGGATATGTTTGATGTCCCGCTGTTGAGAGCCCAATGAATTATGTCCGTTTGGAAGTAGTTCACTTCGACTCACTAAAACATGACGTGTTCTCGAAAAATATGATCTGCCATACTTCAATCATCACTGCTGCAAAAGAAAGCTTCTGCGCAAAAAAGCAACGCTGCGCATGTTTTCACTCCACGACTTCCTTTTTCTTATGCACCCTGCTTCATTACTGTGTGAACACTCCACGACTTGTCTTCTCATGGAACTGTAACTCTTTTGAAACTCGATAATCAGCATTTATTCATCATAACTTTCTAGTCTTACTTGCATCATATCAGAGCATCCATCGACTTAGAAGACGAATTGGAGCTCAGGACTGCCACTGATTTTCACAAGCTTTAAAACTCCTACAAAAACCTGCGTGACTAGAAGGGGGAAAAAAGCTGTCATTTTCGTTTTCTTCTCTCGGACCAATTGCCGTAGATTTCAAAAACCAAAAAATAGTGAACCTTCGAATAGTCGGAAGGCAGTATATCCGTTGGGCGATTTATGTTTGACTGAACTTTTCATGAAACAGTAATCAGTCTGCCTCACAATTATTCTTGAGCCAGCATGTGGTCTGTTATGGGCACTTATACAGTGCAATATACATGTTTCGGTCGTACAGCCTCGTCAGTAGCTTTCATCTTAGCCAATCCGTCTTGGGGGAAACCCAGTCCTCTTACATAGAGTAAACGTAAACGTACTATTTACACGTGCCATGAAGGGAAATAAATCAGTAAATGGGCAGTGTTGTACACTCCATTTTCTTGGTTAATATTTATGGAGTATCATATCGTTCATTTCAAGTGTTTTCTTAGAACTACGCTTCATATTTCCATATGCCTGACAATTAATTCCGAGCCATGCATGTGGTGGTCTGTTTCGTTGTGTGATACTTCATTTACCAGCCAAGAGTAATCAGGTGTACAACACTGCCCCATATAATGATATTTTTCATTCAATGACACATGTAAGTAGTACGTCTGCGTTTCCTTTATGTAAGAGGACTAGGTTCCCCTTCCATCTCAAATTTGGAGTGATGTGCGAAACTTTCGCTTCAGGCAGAACTCGAACCCACACCACATCTATTTGGGATCCGTGCTTAAGTGACAGTCGCCAGCCGTCAACGACCTGGCCCGAGATTGGAGAGGTGTACAAAATGGGTGTCAGTAGTGTATCGGATCAGAGCACGCGCTCTCGCATAGAGTGAGATGTGGGTTCGAGTCCCGCCTAACGCAGAAGTTTTGCGCATCACTCTAAATCAGTGAATATACTTGCAAGTATATTTCATCACTAAAAGCGGTTGAATAAAACAAATTTCGAATGAGTGTTCGGGCAAATGTGCCTCAGTGGTGTAGTGGTAGAGCACGCGTCCCTGGATAGGATAAAACGTTTCGATTCCGGCCTGAGGCCGTGTTTTTGTTCACCACTCAATTCTCTTAGTTATATAAATAACAAATTTCAAGGGAAATATTTGTAAACTTCTATGAGAGAAGAAGCATAGTTCTCATATACTCGACTTCACAAATATCTTCAGTTACAATGGTTGAGCGCTTCTATGAGAATGAGGAGAGAAGCAATTAAGATACTGACAGCTATTAAGATACTGGCATGATACTTTTTATTGACATAATACTTTACTTTAATACCTTATCTATCGTTTGTTGCTCTGGGGCGTGACCACGTATTTAAACTCTGCTCAGTAAGATTACAGCTAAATGACAGCTCCATGTTTTATCATCTTGTTCCTTTTCTCGCTGCATGCTCACAGTCCCATTGTCATCCATTTGCAATTTAGATGGCAATTCTTCTGTGGACTTCCGTCTTCACTCTGCTCTTTTCAGGAAAAGCTTTGTGAGTTGAATACGATAAAATTTAAATATCTCACTCACCGTCATCTTATTTATGACATTGGAAAGCTCGGCCAATCATCAAAAGGATACGTTTGTGAGCAACTTTTTAGGGCTCTCCCACATGAATTATCGGCAAATCAAAAAGGAGATATTTATGTTGTACTGGTTGCTGGTTCACATCATTGGTGGAACTATCGTCACCAGGTATGTACACCTCTAATGTGACTGTCAATAAGGAGTAGCGAAAAATTAATATAGGGTCAAAGAAATGCTTTTGCCCAAAGAATAATCCTCCGTTTTTCGATAGTCGTCGAGCCTAGGATAAATGAATCAGTGCTGAATGACCGCTTAGAGCTTTAAAAGCAACAACATGACACCATTTTTAGGCTGATGTTGCCCATGCCTATCAATTGGTGAGAAATAACGGAATACCTGAGGACAACATCATAGTGATGATGTTCGATGGACGTTGCCTATAATCGAGTGTGAGTTGCTTGAGTACAATCGTTCCCTGCACTAATTTGAGACTAATATCTGGAGCGACTGTCTTTCATCCTCGGCATGAATTGAATATTTCAAACTTTTTTTTATTACAAAGTCCAAAGTTGCTTATAAAGCGTTTATTGAGTATTCAAATCACTGGATCACGATATTACAAAAAAAAAATAATTCGTTGCAAAATTACTAGGATGAGTAGATGCCCATCTTCACATTTTGTCCGGTCATTACCTCTTTTTTTCATTCCTCTCCACTGTGTTGCAGTCGCCATTTGTTGAACGGTTTTGTGGAGTGTGATCGGCAATGGTCTCCGGATCCCTGCCGTTTTTTCCTTTTGTTGATATTTTAAAAACCATCCAAACGTATTTCGTCTGAAACCTTGGTCTCGACCGAAAATAGTCAACTGCTTTTGCAGTTGCGCCACGATGTTTGTATATAACTTACAAAAAAATCCTGAACAGAAACGATTTTTATAGAAAGCACAAAAGTAGGTGGAATCCTCAAATACAAGAATTTTGTAGTGTTTCGAAAACGTCCGTTTTGCAGCAATCCATATCCTGGAAAACTCTTCAACAAACCGCACGGTCCTGATGTCTATCACGGTGCTGAAAATTGACTACACAGTTAGTCTAAATTAATGAAATTTCAAACAGTTATTTTGTAGCTTACTGCCAAGGTTCCTTCATAATACCACTATGTGGAGAATGACCGCTCTTTCAGTAGCACGATATCAGTCTCTATCGAAAAAAAGTTTTTCTAACAGTCGACTGAATTCCTCTTTTGTAGGGCTACTCAGTCACACCCGACAATTTCTTGAATGTTCTTCAAGGCAAAGCGGAGGAAATATTATTCGGTGGCGACAAGCGAGTTCTTAATACGTGAGAAGTGGAGCCTATTTGATACCTTGCATACTGCAAAGAAATACTCATATTCCTTGAATTCAGCACCGCCGATGATCGTATCTTTGTCTACTTCACAGATCATGGAGGTCAAGGCCTCATTGCATTCCCTGAAGATATAGTAAGTTTCTTTATATCTCGGTAAACTTCTCTTTACAACTCCAACAAAGTACAGAAGCCTGTGGCCGAGAGGCTAGTGATGCTTGGCGCGGCTTGACGCGGGTCTCTTCCTTGCTCAGTAAAAAAAAACGGTGGCATGCGTCAAATAAGAAGAAAAAAAACCAGCTGAGTAATGAGTTGAATCAAGTACTTTAGAGAAGTGAGTGTGCAACAGTGTCTTTATTTTAGCTGTCAAAACACGATTTGGCTAAAGCGCTCCAGAACATGCACAAGGAAAAACGATACAAGGAACTAGTCTTCTACCTGGAAGCATGTGAAAGTGGCTCGATGTTTGATGGAATACTCAACGAGGAAATGAATAGTTAGTTTATACTCCTTACTGAGAACCTTCACCATCCGTTTACTTTCCTTTCAGAGTTTTAGCTCGTTTCCGCTGTTAATCAATTCAGACACTGAAACAAAGAGCCAATAGCGATGTACTTTTTCAAGGACAGAAAGAAATGCCGAAATTAATCAGTAGAAGCACAATGTATTTTCTTCTCTTACATTATTATTCAGATTCCTCTTTTACAAGGGAGTTTAGGTAACTATACGGATTCTTATTTCTACTGCTTTCTAGTAGTGGTACGACGTTGCAAGTACATATTTAGAAAATAAGTGGCATACAAAAATTCGAGATCAAACGTGAGGTGAGGTCAAGCTTTACCCTTATCGAGAGCGCGTGATGTCGAAAGAAAAGTGTTGACAAGCGATGGCCTTGGTGTATAGCGGTAGCATGCGCCTCGATAAGGGTAAATCGCCAGTTCAACACCTGTCTGAGGTTGGATTATGCGTAGCACTCAATCTTCACAGATAGTTTATCCATTTATCTTTGCGATTTAATTAACAATATTGAGGAAGTAACTTTCATTGCATCTTAGTACGATTGGTGAAAACTAACCTGAAAGTGTTCTCCTTTGAGAAACTAAAACGTTTTATTCTTCCCTTTCTTTTCTAATTATGCCCATCTAAAAAACCTGCCAATGAACTTTCCCCTAAAAGTAAATGAACGCTTCTAAGAAAAACAAAATCGTTGAAACGTCAGCCATCGTTTTTAAAGCAAATTTAAGTACTATAAGTACCTCACACAAATTCTAAAAAAAAGATTGACGTGTGAGACAGTCTCCACTACGAGTATATTCATTTATTTTGAGTATATGCTATGACCGCTTCGAATGAGCATGAGTCATCCTGGGCAACATACTGTGATGAGCACGAGGAAATGCCGTGTCTTGGTGATCTCTTCTCGGTCAACTGGATGGAAGACTCCGAACAGGTGCATTTCTGCTGCAATCACCTTTCAGTATGATCTAAGATAAGGTCTGAAATTTCTTCTAATGATCGGTAAAAGAAAAAGAAAGAACGGTATAGCACGGCTGTGAAGACAAGAAGCTGCTGTTTGCGTCAGTAAGCACAATCTTAAATGGCAGTTCTGTGAAAAATTTGTTTAAATTATGATAAAAGCTTTTAGCGCTGAAAAGATGGCTAATGCTTCACAAAAACTGAATGTTTACTGAGCAATTGGACCATCTCTTTGAATCCACCTTCATTCTAGACCTAACCTACTATGTAATATCCATAATTCAAAACGTAGCTGAGAGGTGGAATGACTGAGATGTTGAGCGTATGAATAAACAGGCTGCGTATCAGACATATGACTGATTCGAATGCTAGAAACAACTGATAGAAAGTAGTAACTATCACTCCCTGCCGTCATACTCCTAATGACAACCTTTTTTCCTTCGAAGACTTCACTATGACAAGAAGAATCACTCGCGTTCTTTCTTTGCCTATCTGTTGTGCATACAGTCGACAGTTCCGTGTTCATAAAAAAAAGAGTTGGTGTATGTGAAAGAGCTAATTCATTCGTAGTAATGAAATCATTAAGTCTTTATTATAGAGACAAGTCTGAGTGCGAATATATATGTAACACGTTTCGGTTTCAGCACAACATTGGATTGGAGACTCTACTGACCCAATACATAGATGTAAAGAATAAGACGGACAAGTCACACGTGATGAAGTATGGCAATTTCAATATCACCAAAGAGGTAGTTGACGAGTTCGAAGGAGATGAATATCATACAGCGACAGCCAGTGCACCTCCCACAAGATCACAATCTGCCACCAGTCCAGCTCCCACAATGACACATTCCAGTACAGCTTCCACAACAACACATTCTGCCGTCGACGTAAGTCTGCTGTTCAAAAACCATGGAAGTTTGTGCATTTCTGAAGTGACTAATTTAGTGTATGTTAACTACTGGCTAATGTACTTCATGTAAAATTGTGAAAGGTCGGAATCACTTTGCGTATATTCCATTATTTAGAAGCAACATTCAAAGGTTTCATGGCCAGCCAGGGATGTTGAGCTAATGCATCTAGAAAAACTTCAAAAGACCGCAAGTAACACGATGACCTCGCTTGCATTGCAACAGAGGATTGCCACCATTCATGAGGTACGGTCTGAGAATAACACGAAAACTGAACTCCAAAAAAATTTTCAGTATGAATTATTCTTGGAGAAGATCAAAAAAAGCTATATTCTCTAGCATTCTTACGATTTAGGATAGGACGCAACATTGAAGCCGTATTCAATAATCTAGTCGCCAATCTCGTTCCCGATGCCAAAGAAAGGTGCTATCTTTACTATGCTCGACTAAACACACTCTCCTTGTCAACATCTACGTGGCTAAAATTTTTATTCCTATGTCAGTACTTGAAAGAATGTTTTTATAGGAAACAAATGATGGAGGAACGAAACGGTGTTGATATGAAGTGCCATAACGATGTGGTGAAGATGTTCGACAAGATTTGTATCGATGTGAACAAGGTAACGCTTCTTTGACGTCAGTTATGCAAAGCATTAAGTTAGTTTTTGTGGATGGTAGTGAAAATCAGCATTTTTTCTAACATCATGCAATCATTCAAAGTTGGAAACTACGCAGAAAAATTGCAAAGGGGAACAAAGAATATGAAAGTCACCGCCTCGTTAACTCTCCAG